CGTGTAAACTACTAGAAGCTCTGCAGTTGGTGACATACCCTACAACTCTTTTAGTAGCTTCGTACCATAAGCCCACTTTTGATGTGATGGGTAACAGCTGAATTTAATGTAGGTGAATGAGATTTATACACCGGGATGCAGAAAATGTCGCTATTAAAGAAGAAAAGCTACTGGCACTCCGAGCTCTGTCCCAGTAATTGTCCTCGTTATGTAGTGAGCTTTTGCTTTTTTCCCCATCGCGCGAAGTTCGTTGCTAATGCAAACTCTTCACAAATAGTGGCCGCGGCCATCCTCCATGACGCCATAACTTATTCCCTAATTTATTCATCCTGATGGCTATCGGAGCCAGCTTGCTGTTGAGTTAAATTCGTAGGTAAACTCAATCATTTCGCGGGTATCAACAGCACAATACTCTAAGATATTTGGAGCGATGGTCGATTCGCAACGGATCATAATTTTGGGATCTTCACCGATGACGTCAGGTGGTTCGATTTCTATTAAAATTAAAAGAAAAAATCATGATTTCATGTACGCTACATGCCTCTAACAAATCTACTCCCACAATGATTACATAAACATCACTTACATCACTTATACTGTATGCCTGCAGCTCAAACTCAGTAACATTTGTGTGATTGCGCACATAATAGCCTCAAAATTGCCAAATACGGCAGCTCGATACAGTGCCTCCACCTAATCTTCCTCGCCTACCTCCCTGAGTCACAAAAGGCAACAGCACGATCCATAGGACACATGGGCGCTCACATATAAACCCAAAGGAACCTCCGTTCGGTATAAAAAAATTCAGGATTGATAAGATGAATGCGGAAGTATGAGATGATGATAAATCAGTTTCGTAATGTCGTTAAAAGCAACATGCAAAAGGGAAATAAAGGAAGTTCTTGGAGTGATAGCAATGAGGGTGAGACGGCTAAAACAAAACAGAAAATAAAAGAAAAAAATACCTGTTCGACCAATTCGATGAGTATAATCCTCTATCGATTTAGCCATATCGTAGTTTAACACGAGCGAAACATCTTTGATGTCGATACCTGAACGGAAAGCATTCAGTCCTTTCAATGCAACTAGTGAGCGCCAGTTCATTTTGGAATTTTGAGTGAATCGCGGTCATCCATCATTTTGCAAGATACTAATTTGCAGAATGAAACGGCACTAATACTCTACTGAATGGAACAACCGATTAGCAGTATTGTGTGTCCAAGAAGAAGTAAAATCGTTTTCCACTACTATAAATGGAAATTCGCTGCTGTAAAAGGATTATATCTTTCAGACTAACAGAAAGCCGGCAATAATCATCGTAAATCCGTTATTCGAAGAGATTGCGAAAATCCTCCATACTGCCACGTTTTGCTGCTATATATGTGCCATAACACATGCCTATTGATGATAGAAATGTGAGAGAAGATAAGGTTTGAATAACTATGCTCAAAGAGTTCAAAAAGAATTTCTCTCATCTACAATGGCAGCGTTACTCGTTAAGCAGATTCCGTCGCAAAAAAAA